AAATCTTTTACTATAATTGTGTAGATCAAATCCATATTGTGCTACTTTAGTTTGGGGTATCTAAAACATTTGCGTAATCTGGTTCAATATATATGCTCAAAACGTCAGATATTACCATATTATAATTATATGGACGTGTACACTAACAAACGACATTCGGCAAAAACGACAATGTGTAGCATCGATGGAATGCATGCTTCTAATGCTAAATACGGTAATAAGACACCGCATTAATAAAATACGCAGCCTTAAAACGACACTATGTAGCGCCGATGCCAGTCCTTGAACATATTTGGTCTGTTCTACGCACCGACGCTTGTTTACCTATCCAAATCAGTTGCAAATGATCTCAAGCCCGGACAGCCTCAACTAGATACATGGTCAAGGCGATTGGTACAAAGAAACGGGAGCTCAAATAAGGGGCAAGGCTCTTATCAACTGATAGTGTATTGGCTGCCTATCCTTGCACATATTTGACATGTTATGCACACCGACGCTGGTCTACCTATCCAAATCAGTTGCGAATGATCTCAAACCCGGAAAGCCTCACCTAGGTACATAGTAGAGGCTATTGGTACAAAGAAACGGGAGTTAAAACGAGGGACGGGGCTCCGTTCTGTTGATAGTGTATTGGCTGCCTATCCTTGCACAGATCTGACCCGTTCTGCGCGCCGACGCTTGTCTACCTATCCAAATCAGTTGCGAATGATCTCAAAACCGGACAGCCTCACCTAGGTACATGGTAGAGGCTATTGGTACAAAGAAACGGGAGTTAAAACGAGGGACGGGGCTCCGTTCTGTTGATAGTGTATTGGCTGCCTATCCTTGCACAGATCTGACCCGTTCTGCGCACCGACGCTTATCTACCTATCCAAATCAGGTGCTAATGATCTCAAACCCGGACAGCCTCACCTAGGTACATAGTAGAGGCTATTGGTACAAAGAAACGGGAGCTAAAACGATGGACGGGGCTCCGTACTGCTAATAGTGTATTTGCTGCCTATCCTTGCACAAATCTGACCCGTTCTGCGCACCGACGCTTATCTACCTATCCAAATCAGCTGCGAATGATCTCAAACCCGGACAGCCTCATCTAGATACATAGTAGAGGCTATTGGGACAAAGAAACGGGAGGTAAAACAAGGGACGGGGCTCTATTCTGCTTATAGTGTGCTGGCTGCCTATCCTTGCATAGATTTGGCCCGTTATGCGCACTGACGCTTGACTACCTATCCAAATCAGCTGCGAATGATCTCAAACTCCTCGCGGTTGCTGCCGGTCGAGACTAGAGCGATAGCGGGGTCTTTCAGGATGGGTGTGATGAGAGCGGAGGTGCGCAGTGAGGCAGCTGCGAGCGCAACAGAGATCGTCAGCAAGGAAAGAAAGAGGTGAAGCGGTGAAGTCATGAGAAAAACCGATGCTGTTACCATTGATGCTATGAGCCTTTCCCAAGGTAAGGTTCCACTTCCCTATATTGTTCTGCCGCTCTGTGATGAAAAGATCATGATGGATGTCATAATGCTGTCCACCGCAGAGCAGGCAGGACAGTGCAGGGTAGTGGACCAACAGCTTCCCGCCGGTCTCCATCGGGTTGTCAACGACATGGCGCCAACGGTAACGATCTCCAGGGTGCTGAGTGACCAAACCTTTGATCACGTACGTATCAGCGCTAGTGAGTGGGTGGACCACACGATGGAAGGCGAAACCATCCCTGAAGGCTGGCTGCTTCCGCATCTTCAACTTGAAACGGACAAGCAAGTCCTTCAGCACATCCGGAACAATGTTAGCAGGTACGCGACGAAAAACCACTTCGACAGCAAGCGGGTGAGCAGCCTTCTCCTTAAGGTAAGAAGCATCTTCCGTGTGCTGCCAGATGCATTTAATCGCTGGAGCATTGTACTTCTGATATTCGAAGACGTGGAACTTGATATGGTGAGCGTCGCGTTCATCAAGAAATGAGATCTGGAGGCGACAGAACCGCGTTTTCGCCACGAAACCAGGAGACATTTCCTGAATGTTTGCAGTGACGCCGGCGTTCTCAGTCAGGGACGAGCTCCAAACCTTCGTCATCAGGAGGCGGACGGCTGCTATGATCGCTTTGATCTCCTGAGACAGCACCATCGGGATTAGTAGGATTGCGGTAAAACGAAGACGGAAAGCATCCTCCTTCGCAATGTCGATTTCCAGTTCGTCGTCCGAGTCGTCCTCCAGGAAGTCATCAGATGCCGCCGAAGGAGCCTGGTACGCCTGATACGCCTGACTCTTCTCTTCCACAGACAGACCAGAACTTCCAGCGACGTTGTCCATGGCCTTCACAGCAGTATCGTCAGTAACCTTGGCCTTCTCCTTGGCAGCGACATTGTCCGTTGCCATGTAGGTGGTCGTGTAAACCGTGTCAGCCGATCCTTGCATTCCAGTGTCATCCCCAGCAGGTAACGGCGTAACAATCGGGTCCGTATGGAGGTCATCCGGGAGCGTAACGTCTGCAGTCACCTTCGCCGTACGCTTGGGAGGCATGGTGCGATGATGACGACCAGAAAGCAGCTTGAAAAGGTCTGACAGCAAACAAGCAGACCGAGAAGCTCGTGAAGCTTGTGAAACTGATGCTGCTGAAGAGCTGAGCACCACCTCCTTATAGCAGGTCCTTTGCGCCAGGGCCTTGCTTTCTTGTTGGAAATGAAGGATTCCCGAGGTGATCGCCTTGGGATCTCGCCTTGAAGTTTGATAAAGTAGATAAGAGAGCCAGTGGTGTATTGTAGTGGAAACTTCATGGCGTAGAACTTCATTAAGGCTCGGAATATTGCCGGCAGAATCAAGAGACCCTGGATAATGGTTAGCTTGAAATGTGCTTGCAACCTTGAGATACACCTGAGTAGCCGAGGTTATAATGTCCGCGTAATAGACATGAAACTTATATCCTCTGCTTCGTAATGTACTCAGGACGTCAGATCTGATCTCAGAGTTACCAACTGATAAGTAACCTTCACGTAACAGGCTCTCAAAGTTCCGCGGTAGAATCCATGGCGGCCTTGTCATTGTTGTCATTGTTGGCCTTATACACGACCACAATCTTGCTTGGCGAAGTTTTCGTTGGCGAGGTTTGGGGGCAGGTGCAGTCGAAAGGTTCGGAAGCGACACGAGTCAGCTTCAGTTTCGTCATTTTTTGCCGAGCCTGATCCCGTTATATTTGGGGCTTCGGACGATACCTAAGTGACGTACACGAATCCGGTAACCCCTGTTGTCTCCAAACCAAAAACCAAACCGATCGCGCAGACCTCCGAAGTTTACGAGTCTCAAACCAAATGGCTCTCCTGCCTGCCGAGCCTGGCGTGCCATACGTACACCCTTTGGTTCGGCACGGCAAAGCTGGAGTAGCCGTGGTACTCTTGAGGGGGAACTCGGAACCTCACAGTGTTCGGAGCTTCGCACAATGCCGTAGCGACATGAACGAAGTCGGAAACCCTATAAAGTCTGCCTCCAAAAGGCAGAACCAAATTCAACAACCCGCCTCCGCTCTCTCCTCATTCGCTCCGAGGGCGCGTCCCCTCCCTCGATCGATCGCGCGATCACTTTGAAAAACCGATCGGGCACACCGATCGCAGGATTGGGGCGGGATTGGTAGGAGGTGACAACAGCGGATCGATCTCGAGCCCTGGGCGACAAGATCGAGAATACAAGGGGCAAAAAACTCTCGATCCTACGAAAGCCGAGATCGGTGTGGCCACGGGGGGACATCGATCATCATCAGCGGAGGTGACAAGATCGTTTGGCACCAGTTACTGTAGATTCGCAAGCCTTCTCGAAATCCGGTTACCCTGTCAAATGCGACACTGTATCGTCGCCTGATCGATGAGGACAGGATCGATCAAGGGAGGGGACGCGCCCTTATTAGAAGTAGGCTCACCGTCAGGCCTATTAGGTTTAGTGCGTCGTGATGGGTGCTTTGAACTATCGGCTCGGCGGGCTTACGCTCTTTCTGCCGACGTGTTTCGCCGCAGTCCGCAGTGTAACCAATGACCCTTCCCTATGTCCGTGTACTTTTTTCCGTTCGCCATGTCGCGCCGCCATTTCGCATGTAACGCTTCCATTTCGCATGTCCCGCCGTCATGTCGCCATGCCACGTCGCCATTTCGCCATGTCACGCCGCCGTTTCGCCATGACTCGTCGCCATTTCGCCATGTCACGCCGCCATTTTGCACGTCACGTTCCCATTTCGCCATATCACGCTGCCATTTCGCCATGTCCCGCAGCCATTTCGCCATGTAGCGCCGCCATTTCGCATGTCACGTCCCCATTTCGTCACGTCACCGTCATTTCGCCGCGTCGCGCTGCCATATCGCCATGTCAAGCACCCATTCCGCCATGTCACGCCGCCAATTCTCATGTCACAACGCCACTTCGCCATGTCACGCATTCAGTTCACCACGCCGCGCCACCATGCATCATCCAGAGATTGGCGAATGCCAGTTTGCCCCCACGCCCCAACGCGGCCCGTTAATGCGCGTCGCTCGGAGCGCAAAACACCCCTTCCCCCTCAGCTCCCGTTCCACCCGCCGCCATCCCACTCACGTGCACGCTGCAGCCCGCTGTGAGTTGGGGTGTAGTAACGCCTGTGGGCTAGTGAGTTGCTGTGGGCATTCCGCTGCGCCGAATAACACCCTCGTTTTGACCCAGTGGGTAGCGAGGTGTCATATGGGGTGTCGCCATGTCATGGCCTGGCCTGCTGTGATGTGTTCTGCTCTTGTCTGGTCCGCTGTGCGTCTTGTCTGGTCCGCTGTGGTTGTGCTTGCCCACAGGCGAGGGGAGTGAGGCGAGAGGTGAGGAATTTGGCGACGACGTGGAAGTTAGATTGGATCTCGACGGTACTAGGGCGTGCTCGGGCGTCGCCATGCTGCATATATACTTTTTATTCGTGTTAAACACATACAATACTGTATTGCAAACTCAAGTCGGCCTCGCCACTACCACAGCCCAACCAGGACCGCAATTTGGCTCCGCTAATGCCCAGCCCAGCTCTCTCCCTCAGCTCTCTCCCTCAGCTCTCTCCCCCAGCTCTTTCCCCCAGCTCTTCCTTCCAGCTCTTCCCCCCAGATTTCCCCCTCAAATCTCCCCCCCAGCTCTCCCCCCCAGCTCTCCCACCCAGCTCTCCCCCCCCCCTCTCCCCCCCAGCTCTCCCCCCCAGCTCTCCCCCCCAGCTTTCCCCCCCAACTCTGCCCCCCAGCTCTCCCTCCCAGCTTTCCCCCCCAACTCTTCCCCCCAGCTCTTTCCCCCAGTTCTGTCCCCCAGCACTGCCCCCCAGCTCTTCCCCCAGGATCTCCCCCCCAGCTCTCTCCGCCATCTCCGTCCCCCAGGTCTGTGCAGCATGGTCTGGTGTGTTTGACAGCAGAGGGCAGTGTGGTGTGGTGAACCAGATGACGGTCATCGTGACGATGCTCAAGAGCCTCGGGGTGGTCAGCAACGTCGCTACCAACGGTTGGAAGTGGTGGGTGGGGATGTGCGAGGGCAAGAGTATGACATTGAGTTCATGGTGAGTGTGGCAAGTATTCACACATTTCACACGTGTGTTTGAAAGTGCTTCTAGGGGCGGAGCAGTGCAGGTGTGCAAGGTCAAGGAGTGTGGTGTTGTGTGCATGGTGACTCTTCGTCTGAAGGCGAGGAGTGTGATGCGGGGGTCATGGTAGGGTACGATGTGTGGACGCATGGTGAAGTCATGCTAATTTGCTGCTCAAGGCGAGGTGTGACTACACCGCGAGAGTTGCATTTCTTTAGTGTGCTTCATGGTGTTGCTGGAAATGCCCTATGCCCTTTGTCTCTTTGCGTTTCCGCCCCGTGGCTGGCGTTTTTGCTGCTGGTTCAATAACGAGGCAAAATGAATGTGAGCACTGCTCTTTTGTGGGCAAAGCAAAGGTCCGTGCTTCTGCATTGTTCAATAGTATGCCAATCCTTCTTCCCTCTCTTCCCTCGCACTCCCTTCCCCTTCCCAAGCCAACAACATTCTGGCAACAACACTCGGCAGAGCCATGGATTGTAGGGAGGCATGAGGGAGGCACGGGAGGGAGAGCGGGGCAGCAGAGGGAGGTGGAGGTAGGGGAGAGGAGCAAAGGCCATGAAGGCTACCTTTTCACAATGGCCATTAGCTGCAGGCTGCTGGTTGAATGTTGGTCATGCGGTGCTCCATGTGTTTCTCATGTGATGTAGTATTGGGGATGAAGAGATGGCATCATCAGATGCCATGTATGAAGGGGTGCTTGAGCATGCCTATGTTCCCTTATCTCAACCCTCTCCCTTGTCATCCAATATCCCTGCTACCACTCCCCCACCTTGCCATATCCCCAGTGTTCCCTCACCATCTCTCCCTTCCCCATTTCCAGGAGTTCTCCATAACCGTTGCACCTGTCACTTCAGTTCATCGCACTTGCTTTCAATTCAACTGTCTTCCCTTCTTGCCATTCACTCCCTAAGTACCATCTCAGGTCCTCCTCCTCTGCCCGCCATCACCCTCCCATCCGCTCCCCCACCAAACCAACCAAGCAGCAGCAGCATCTTAGCCGTTGCACCTTCAGACAACCCCCCTCCCACACCAGGACAATCTTCTCTCCTTCAATTCCCCCTTCCATGTCCCAGCCCACCACACTCCTGCATACCACCTGATCCACCCGAGCCCCACTCCTCCTGCTTCAAGCATGACGCCTCATTCCATGATCCATCTCAACTGTCTTCCCCTTCTTGCCATTCGTACCAAGTGTCTCTCCCCATCCCAGGCCCTCTTCCTCTGTCCCCAATCACCTCCCATCTGCTCCCCTGCCAACCCGACCAAGCAACAGCATCATAGTTGTTGCACCTTCAGACAACCGCCTCGCTCCCACAACATCTTCTCCACCTGACCCTCCACACCTGCTGCTGCAGCAGCAGTGGCAGCAGTGGTGGCAAGAGAGGGATAACTTGGGCACGGGGGAGATGAGGGGGACGGAGAAGGGGGTTTGGGGAGCAGGAGCACTTTGCTCATGCACTGCTGCAGCAGAGCAGCAGCTGCCCAATCAGCACATTCAACTCCTTCTGTGCAGCATCAGTAGTGGTTAGCAACTCCCACTCACCACATTCAGCTGCTCCAACGCCCGCGCTCTCCATCTTTTCCACCTGCCCACCACCTCCTCTGTGCTGCGCGGGTCACTTCACCCCATAGCAACCTCTTCCATGTGTCCCCCGTATCTTCCCACCACTTTTCCTCCATATCCTCCCCACTTTTCCCATTTGCTTCATTTTTCCCATCATGCCATGCCTCTTTCACACATTAGCCCATGTTCAAACCAACAGTCCCTCCCCATCTCAGCTCCTCTCCTCCTACCTACCATCACCCTCCCATCTGCTCCCCATCATCCCAGCTAAGCAGCAGCACCATAGCCATCACAGGTCAGTCTCAGGTCAGTCCCACGTCAGGTGACTCTCAGGTCGGGTTGAGCAGATACCGAAGTTTGGCAGGAGGTGCAATCGCGGTTCATGGTGGCAATGCTGCCGCCTGCTGGTGTGGGGGCTTACAGAAATGCCTGCAGCGGCAGCCAGTCAAGGGAGTATGGTGCGCGGGCACATGCGGAGAGATATACCGTGCATGGGGAAACCGTGCACAATCAGATGAGGGTACCAGCATCTCCCTTGACCCTCATCTGCGAGAGATGCTGCTGGGGAAACCGTGCTATCGCACTGCCTCCCCTGCTGCCCCTTCCATCCATCCTGCTGCATGGTGGAGCGACGAGAGTACATCTATATGAGATGTGGATACATGTAGGCGAAGAGGGAGTCATGGAGGCAAAGATCCAGGCAGCAGATATTATGTGCCTTTGTGCGCAGGGGCATTAGGTGTGCATTGCTCATTTTGCTAAACATGTGGGGTTCAAGGTCCCGTGAAGAATGAAGAGGTGCATGCACATGGCATCATCACATGCTATGAATGCGGATGGCTTCTTAACTGATGGCAGGCGGGGCAAGGAGGTGAGACAATTTGAATAGGGTGTCACAGTATCTCTCTTCTTCCATCCTTATCCCTTCCAGCACTCCCTTCATGCCATCCCCTTTTTTTTCCTCTTCTTTCCCTTCCGTCTCCAAGTCCTCCTACACTCCAACCATTCAGCTTCTCCAAGGTCCGCACTCATCCTCCGTATCTTCCAACTGTCCCTCCCCATCGCAGGTCTTCCTTCTTTGCTTGCCATCACCCGCCCATCTGCTCCCCCACCATCCCAACCAAGCAGCAGCACCGTATTGTGCTGCTTATATGATCATTTCTGCGCTCTCAGGCACCGCCCCCCCCTCCTTCCAACATCACCTACTGAGGGACCACCAGCCTGTGTCCCCCTCCATGCCCCTTTCGCCTTATTGTGCTGCTTATATGATCATTTCTGTGCTTTCTCCCCCTCTTATCCCCTCCTTCCCCCTTCCCGCACCCCTCCCACCTCCCCCTCCTCCTTGGTAGCATAGAGGCACTACAGTGTCTCTTACGGATCTTTACGCTCACCTCTCCTCTCCTCCCAGACCACCCCCGGTTCCTCCTTCTCTTCTCCTGCCCTCCCCCAGTCTCCCCTCAGCTGCTTCAAGCAGTCTCCACGCCGCGATGGCATGGCGTGGTGGGACGTAGGCTGGTGGGGAGGGGAGAACAAGGATAGGTGGATGTCACTCAAGAACATTTTTTCAAGCACATGATTTCAGCTCCTCTCCCTGTTTTGCCTCCTGCTGTCGCTCGCAGCAGCTGCTGCAGGGGAAATGGGGCGACCACTTCAGGTTCAGAGACGTTCCAAGCAGGGGAGGTTGGGTTGGAGCTCAAGTGCGCAGCAGCATGCATCTCAGCTACCCCTTCCCATGCACACGCCAGCCCACTATATCCTGCCTGTCTTCTGGCTTCCGTCCCATGCCACTCAGCCCAGCTACCGGTACCCTCATCTGATTGTGCTCTAGCAAGCCGCTGTTAATCAAGTGCATTACTTGGGATGAGTAATGTTTGGTATTGATATTCGAAGCAGGGTGAGAAGCTTTGGTTTGAGAGAAATACGGTAGTAGTAAGGATCTATTAAAAATAGAATGCCCAGCCAGCATGATACGGTACTGTATGTTCATGAAATCATGAAGCATACCGTAGGAATCTTCAAAGCTGTTGATATTCATGAAAGCAGTGCTTTACAAGCATTATCCATACAAACTATGCCCTGACTCTGTTCTTGCAGCCCTTCCCTCTTCTCCTCTATGGGAAGAGCATCTGTACAGCAAGGCATGGCATGGAATGGCTCATGCATTCTTTCATCATGCACCAGTCCCCTTGCCCGGACAACCCTGCATCTGCTTGCTTGCATCTGTCCATTTGCAAGGAATGGATTCCATTGTCAACATCGCACATTCTCCAAATTATGCCAAATACAATTTCAGCTACCGGTACCCTACCATTCCAGGCCTCTACACCGCACATGTGTCCCACCCCAATACTGTATCTCCTACACACTGAATTAACTCCCGCATTCGTCACAGGCCTTGCCTCGGCACCTCTCTATAATCTTCCCTAGAGAGTCAGATTGCATTCCCGGTTCGGACATCATCCGAAGTTCGCCCACCTGAAGGTGTTTTAGCGCATGGATGGTGTCCGTGTGGGGCAGAGCCCCACCTTGGACATCTGGAAGGGTCTGGCGTGCGACGAACGTCGTGCGTGTCGCTTGGGTTCGCGACCAATCAGAGCATAACGCAGTACACAAAACAGCGTCAAATGCTAACGACCAAAACTGAGCCTCGGGCATAAAAAAAAATCACTGGTAGCCAGTTTCGGGGTGCGTGTTTGGTATATAAGCTATTAGTTTGTACTGTACTTGGATTGGGCAGACAATTTGAAGAGACTAGCCCGCAAAAAAAACACGATAGGGAGATAACGGGTTGTGTTTATGGTTTGTTGCACGATCGCACTGACGTGCAGGTTGGTCGTACGTTCGGTGGCCGACTGAATCAAAAGTGTCCAGAATTCGGACCGCGTGGACTAACATTGAAATGTCATTTTTTTAAATTGCGCACCGCGTGGCCAAACTTCGGATGGTGTCCGAACAGGGAATGCAATCTCAGTCAACTCTTCCCTCCTTTTCCATCATCACTCCCTGCCACCCTACCCGCCTATCGGGCTATGTACACCATCATCCGTAAGCCAACTCCCTCCCGGCAGCCAGAGATATTTCAGCTTGGGCAGGGAAGTCAGCTGCTGCAGCCCATCATCCGTGACTGCCGTGTCACGCAGCCAGAGTTCCACAAGGCCTGTCAGCCTCCCCACATGCACCATGCCAGCATTCGTCACACCCTTGCATTCACCAAGCCCCAGATGTTTGAGAGAAGATAGGGCTGTCAAGTGCGCCAGGTCAGCATCGGTCACCTTGGTATGATTGAGATGGAGATACTTGAGACTGGTCAAGGACCCAATGCCTTCCAAGGCACTGTCTGATAAGTCTGTGGCTATAAAATTTAACACCTCCAGCTGCGGCAGCCTGTAGAGGTGCTTGATGCCCTCTGCACTGAAGCCTGAGCTATATTCCAAGTGAATGCTCTTCAGATGCGTCAGTGTGGAGACGTGGGCGAGGATGGCGTCTGAGATGCCGTTGAGTTTCCTCAGGTCTAGATTGACCATTTGTGATGCCGCCTTGATTGCCTTGCGGAAATGTGTGAAGGGGGAGATTATGAGAATGGGAGCGTAATCCCAGCAACACACATGAACTAGCAATCAGTGCATGTGCAAATGGTACGAGTACAAACTCTACGCTTCCGTACGGGATACACTAATTCGAGAGTAAAAATACCCCGGAATACGGAGTGTCAGTAGGAAAAAGCAACTTCGGTGCAGGGGAGGTGAGGGACATGGTCTGTGTTGGGCATGGAGTACCCGCGGATCTGGCCGTGAAATTCCAGATCCGCACTGCGCACCCCTGGCTACTAGCGGTCAGCGGCTTGTGAGGCTGTGTGACACTGGCCAGGGGGGAGACGGTTGCATTCAACATTTAAGCTCGCTCTTCTCAAAATTGTGCAGTTTCCATGATTTGGTTGAGCGTTTTTCCCAACGTGGCTCAGCGCTCACATGTCATGCAGTCTTCTGATCGCTTTTACTCTGCCAAAGATGATTACGGAGACAACGAAAACGCAGCAACCGATGCTCACTACGCACTCACCTCCAATGCTGTCTTCCGATCATCCAATTCCTTCATGGCCCATGGCTGGTTCAACTCCTGCACCTCCCTCCTCCTCTCCTCCTCCCGTGCACACTCGACTGTCAATTCTTGCCTTCTCTTTCTACTCTTCCCTCTCAGGCCTCTTACATCTGATGCCCTACTACTCTCTGCTATTTCCTCTGTCATCGCGTCCTTGTATTCTGCCAGTGCCCCCTTCACCGCTGTCAACTCTCCCTTCACCACAGCCAACTCCCTTTTCACCGCTTCCAACTCTTCCTTCACTACTGTGAACTGTCTCTCCCTTTCCTCCACCGAAGCAACTGCCTCACTCCTCTCCCTCAAAGCAGTCAGCATGTGTCGGAACTCATCCACCTCCTCCTTGTGTGAAGCCAGCTGCTCTCTAACTGCTGCCAGCACCGCCTCTTGGACCAACTCATTCACTGCGCTCGCCACCCTCTCAACAGCCATATCATCCACTCACTCCCCTCAAACAACCTTCCGTCAATGTATGAATTTGAAATCTTCACTGCAGACTGGCCAAGCACACACGTGCAGCCTGGGTAGGGCAGGGTTGAGCGTTGTGAGACATGAGAAATGTAAAAAGAAAAGAGGGACGCACGAACAGGACCAGTTACATGGGCGTGAGGGATGAGTAGTGATGTGAGTAAGAAGGCAGATAAAGAGGAGCAGAAGAGGAAGGCTTGATGAAAAGATTTGGGAGAATGAGCTGAGCACAAGTCTGGGTCTAGGAGAGCTTGAGCATTTGGCATGACATGACTTCAGGCGGCAGTAAAACATGGGGAGGCCAGGAGGAGGAGCAGAGGAGACAAGACCTGTGAATGGAAACGCCAAACGGTGACACACCAAGCTCTTTAGGGTTGTATTGGTGGAAGAAAACAGTTTAAAGCCGGAAGCCCAAATTGCACAAGTTTTAAAATGATGACGCGAGGGGTTTTTTCTGGTTTGGGTTTTGGAGAGTGATTCCGATTTCGGGCATTTTGTTTTTTTTGTCAAACCCAGCCAGCCCATGTATTTCGCCCTGGGGGTTGTGTCAGCACCCGAAAGTCCCAAATTGCAGGTGCGCTACTTTTCAAAGCTTGCACACTGCATTTCGTCAAATTTTAAAAGCATGACCCACGCGCCTCGCAATTTGGGACTCGGGCTTTAAAATGGAAAGATGCAGAGACAAAGGAGTGGATAGAAAAACAAAGCACATGCAGAGGGCCTATATGCCTGTAACCTTCCAAAACAAAAGTGTACTCATTGTGCGACGCTCCCACCACACCTCGACATCACTGGAAGTAGGTGAAGAGGTCGTCGGTAAAGCGAAATATGCCAGAGCAGAATGCGGGAAGAGAGCAAGCCAGACAGGATGCAGCACGAGCAAGCCAGATAGGATGCGGGAGCGGAGCAGCAATGACGATGAGGTGAAGAGCTCAGCCTGGCATGGAATATGCAATGTGGCCCTGCCACCTCTAATCCTTGCCACACTCAGGCAGGCGAGGGAAGCCGCAGCGAGGAGACGATGAGGGAAGTTGAATGTCTGGAGCAAGGGAGATGAGAAATGGTATGGAATCGAGTGGCCGAGCTGTGGCTGAGCCATTTCAGCTGCTACTCTCTCTCATTCGTTAAGCCGAAATAGAGAATTTGAATTCGACTTACTGCAATCCGAGAGATGCGAAATCTGCCCAGCAAGCTGGTGGGCTCCACCTGGGGGAGGTCGAGCTAGGGTGGGCTGTGTGATGCAATGCAAGGCTCATGGTGAGCCCGGCAGATTGCCATGAGCCTCTTCGGCTCGTGCGTCACAAAATTTGGCAGGCTCTAAGCCATGCGTCAGGCACAAACTTTGGCATGGAGCATGCCAGGATCGACTTGGTCATAGAAACTTGGTAGTGGCGATCCTGGTTCGACCCGGCCATTGCTTGCGGATAAAGCAGACCAGAGGATACGGGACGGGGGAATCAAAGTGGTTGGGGGAGGCCGTCACCGTGACGTCTGAGATATGAGAGCTGAATCGTTTGGGGGTGGCCTGGACGCTCAGAACTATCTAGTTCACACTAACCAACGAGAGCCTAGGTTAGCAACAGCATGGTGAACGAGCCAAGGAGAAAACACGCAGCACGAGAAGGGCACAGGTTCACATTCCGTTGAGGGGCAACAATGGCGTTGCGCAAGGCCACTCGGTATATAACACAGTCACACACATCTAACTCTGACACATACATGAAAAAGCACTATGATTCGTATACTGGGAGCTGTGCAATGTGCAAGACTGAGAGAATGGAGAAATAAAAGATGATGCATGTAGTGGCTGAAGGATCAGAATGCTCACCTTTAATTAGGGTTGTTATATTGCCGTGCTTCCGCGGCTCGAGAAAATGACTTCGCTGTGGCGGGACAGGGTCTGAAAGCGTTGTGAGGGAAGGGAGGTGGGGAGAGGATAGAGTGGACAACATGAACAACACGCCATTCATTCATACTATTATCATAGCGGTGCATCGAGTCACCGCGCTTTACTCGTGTGGGGACATGCGCTCTTATGATTACGTCTGACCGTCACTCTGATTGGCAGCATAGCCCACCTTTATGCGCACTCTTATTGTGACTGAAAAACCACATTAACAGGTCGAGTCGGCTTCAACTCGTGCGTTGACTCGAGTCAGGAGCGACTCAACCCAAAATTCCCGCCTCGAGTTGGGCAGGCTCGACATTTCATTCGACTCGTCCTGCGCACATGTCTGTGCTGCCCGTCACAAGCTACGTCATTTATAAGAAAGGTCAGTCAAAGCCTAGGCCAATCAGAGCTTAGGTCAGTCAAAACTCGGGCCAATCAGAGCATAGGTCAGTCAAAGCCTAGGCTAATCAGAGCCTAGGGCAGTCAAAGCTTAGGCCAATCAGAGCCTAGGCCAATCAGAGCCTAGGCCAATCAGAGCCTAGGACAGTGACAGCATGGTGAATGAGCCTGGACGAAAAACAGGGCAGCACGGGATGGGTCCAGGCTACCAACGCGGTTGGTCACAGCCTGAGTTGGGTCTCAGGCTTGGACGGTCATTGCATGGGTGAGTGACAGCGTGACTCCGTGAACCAGGGCGGAAGCAGCAATGCTAAGGGCAACGAATGCGTCAAGGGGCCCTGCTAGTCTCTTGGCAGTGTACAGAATCCGTTAGCAACTCGGTGTGTATCCAACAGTTGCGCATTGACCCCCTCTGAGAGAACTACGAGCACCGTGATTCATGACCTGTGAGCCTCAGGCTTGCAAGGCTTGAAAGCGAAGGCCTGACTGAGTAGTGGATGGGGAGGCTTACCTCTATTTAGGGTTTCTTAGACTATCGTGTTTCCGCTGCTCGAAGAGACTTAGCGGCAGCGAGTTACTTCGATCTACAGCGTGTGGCGCGTGATGGCGCGACGCGGCAAATTCGAAAGTGTTGCGACGGAGCGAGCGGACCAAAAAATAGTGACGAGAGCACAGGATGCGCGGAATATAGTACGAGTCGCAAAGGGAATGGCGCCGCCGTGAGTCGTAGTGGTTCGTAGAGGCGATTCGAGGCGCCTTTTCTTGCGATGGGAGATAGCGCTCTTGCAATGCACGCCTACTATGCGTCACGACTCAGATTATGGTGGCTAGACATAGCTGGAGTAGGAAGGAGTCATACGTGAGATCAGATTATGACCCAGTACTCGAATTTCGAGTTCGACACAACCGTTCCATTTCAGAATACACAGCCGATTGCCATTTGTATGTTACCACCCGTGTTTTGCGATATGAAATATATCTTCGCAAACCTATTAGTTCCGCGAAGTGAAGTGCCAAACAAGCAGGCCCTGCGTCGTTCTCGTTTCGCCCAAGCACGGCCTTAATCAAGGTACGAATTTGGGACGCGATTCCAAATTTGATGCCTGAGCTTGTGAGTCAGCTGTTGCCATCCTAAACATGGTTCGTATTCCTTTGTTCGTTCTCGACCGACATTTGTTTGTAGTAACCCCGCTAGCTGTACTTTTGCAACTTCGTGCTTCTTCGTTGAATGAGGCGAGTGGTAACCGAGCATCAACTAGGCAAACCATGCAAGCTGAACTACTGTCGTAGAATAGGTTCAAGTGGTGCTCTTGCAATGTCGGGCACACACATATGCTCACATGCTCATCCCACCATCTTAGTTTCCGCAGAATCTATGAGTCGCGTGGCGTTTCTAGTTATCACAAGCGCTTGTGGTATCCGGATTCACAAGCGATCACAAGCGCACTGATACCGAATGCTGATTTTTTTTTTTTGGCGTATCCGGCGCTTCTCCTGCTTCCGTCACGACGTCCTATAGAGTGGCGCCGCATTTTGAGCGACTAGCGCGTGCAGTCGCTCGCTGCGCGGGTCGATCTCGCTCTGAAAGAAAGCTCCAAGCGCAGCAATCTAGTTTAGAGACGTCTCAAAACGCGCTATCTGGAAAAAAGCTCCAAGCGCAGCATTTTGCGATCTGGCGACCCTGTGTGCGACACTCAGTCGCGTTCGTCCATCTCTTCGCGTTGAAAGCTATGATCGAATCTCCACGCCACCCTGCCACGAGAATTCATTAGTGCGGAGTTTAGGGTTGACCATCGTAGCTGTTCCTGTTCGCCATCATGTCGACCAATGAGAGCCAAGCGCTGCTCTCGCCGCGACTTGCCACAAGCAATGCCATCCAGGTCAAATCGATCACGGAATCGAGTCGGCCTATGGCGAATAGCGAAGATGTTATCGTGCCAGCGGACCTGGAAGATGACGTTGCTGGGTCAGCATCGGCGTTGCGCGTGTAGCCATGGTGCGCGCCGTGGCTGTGGTCGGTGGTTAAGGTGGTGCTGCTCGTGCTGCTCTGGCACACCTTCAGCACGGCGCGCTCCCTGTAAGCATGCTGCTCTAAGCATGGCGCTGTAGCATGCCGCGCTCCCTGTAAGCATGACGCTTTTCCTGTGTAGCCACCCTCCCTGTAGCTGCCACTCCCCCAGTGCGTGATCAAATTTCTCACTGGGCTGGCCATCCATCTAAAGGGCCCTTTCGCCCGTTCGTATCTCCCCTTGCAAGCAACCCTTTATCGCCCCCTGCTGTATCTGTGCACTCCCGCTATGCATTGCACTATCGCATCGCCATGCATGTACGCACGGGCGGGGCGGTGGTGGATGGATGGGTGGGTGGGTGGGTGGGTGGCGGGGCGGTGGTGGCCGTGGGTGGGTGGGCAGGTACAACAAGGTGCTGATCGGTGCGAAGCACCTTTGAGAATTCTTTTTGAGGCGCCTCAAAAGTGGCCGTGGGTGAGTGGGCAGGTACAACAAGGCGCTGATCGGTGCGAAGCACCGGCGCTTCCCAGCGCCGCTGCTGATGACCACCGTGCACTTCCTCGTGCAGGGCGCCATCGCCTCGCTGCTGCTGCGCTGCTGCTGCCACTCGTGACTGCCATCTCCTGGCGCGACTACTTCGTGCGAGGTAACTTGCTGAGTTGACTCAAAAGTGTTTCTAGTCGACTGACTTTTGAGTCGCCTCAAAAGTCACCTCTGCTGCAACTCGTGGCTGCCCGCCTCCCCCATCTCCTGGCGCGACTACTTCGTGCGAGGTTCGCCGTGTGGGTGGGAGGGAGGGATTGAGAATGGGGATGGGAGCTCGTGCATGCACGTTCTGCAACTTGTCCATTGAGGCTGGTTCAGTTCAGGCGACTTTCTAATGGATGCTTACTTGTTTAAACGTGTGTTGGCCTGTGCCCTGTGTGCTCTGCCCCGTGCATGCAGTGGTTGCCCTCTCCAACCTCTCCCTTGCGCTCGTCACCCGCACCTTCTACTCCATGGTACGCTGTCCCGCCCTTATTCTCCCTCGTCACTGTGCGATATCTTATCCGCTTCATTCACTGCAGTCTCCTTGGTCAAAATGATCCGCTTACTTGGGTGCGCTCAAGCGTGGGTGTACTCAAAAGCGTTTGCGATATCTTATCCGTTGCAGAAAAAGTCCAGTGTGGCACTCAAACTTGGGTGCGCTCGACACACACAACACGTTGCGATGCATAGAGTATAATAATTGACTGTGCCTCTCTCCCCCACGCCTCCACCGCCCCGTGCCCGTTGAAAGGCTGGAGGTGCCCAGCAGCTTCAAGCTGCTGGGCACCAGGCTCATCATCTCCGTCGGCGTGCTCGGCATAGGTTGGGGAGGGGGGGACGAGGGGGAACGGAAGGGGGAACGGAAGGGGGAACGGAAGGGGGAGGGGGCTGGGAGGGTAATTCGATGACCATCCAACATTTTTTTCTACCGTGCCTCAGTTTTCCTCTTGTATCACTACCATTTCCGTGCGCTCCACCCCCCAATCAGCATTGCA